ATCAACTGGAGGTGGAGAGATTGTGATCTTCACTTTTGCTGAGAAGCTTCCAGAAGGACACGCGAAAGTACTTTCCCTTGAGATCTACGAATGATTTCGTATCCAAATCGGCTATAAAATGGATAATGATACTATCCCTCTCTTTTCCCACGCCACATCGAGTGGCTATCCTAGTCTTTTTTGGCTTTGGACAATCACATGACCGAATGCGAGCGTAGGTTGTTGAAAAGTAAAAGATAGGCATAAATTTAATCAAGGCCAAATTTTCTTTTGACAAAAACCAGCAGAAATCGTAACGGATTAACGTCTTGCTGTCAATGATCAATTAAATAGAACAAATTCTGGAAGGCACACTCGCTGATTTTCCGCGCATTTCGCCGTGGAGGTCGGCATCCCCACCTGACAACCATCAAATCAATTTAGTTGTTATCACGGGAAACTGAAGCGTCTTGGCCTAATGGCATTTCTCACTGAACTTTTGCCGAATTTGTCTGGTTTCAGGTGTGGGTCTGATTGTTGTGGTATTGGGGATTTGTTTCCTCCACCCAGAGGTCGAACATCCTGTGCAAGAGGTAGAATCACAGGGATGGATTATAAATGCCATCCATTTACCCAGTTTTCACCCTCCTTTCTGTCATCTGCAGCTGTTACCTCCCCCTCCCCTCCCCTACTCTCCTTATCCTAGTAACCGGTTTTGAAGGGTCATAGGGAGCTGTCACATTTCCTACGTGGAAAACATGCGATAGCAAGCGCATCTGGTAGTATTTGCATTAACCAGCGTTTGGGGAGGATGGTCAGAGCAGTAGGTAGTACAACTTGAGTTCTCTTCATTATTTACCGAATTCCAAAATTTGAATGTGTTTTTACTCCTGTTCGTCACCGACCATCTTAGCCTATTTCGTTAATATTTTAGTGCATTGGGTGACTTTGACTACAAGCAGATAAAGGGCCAATCTCCGGCTGACCAATTGGTCTCTCCGGAGCCCGATGTCACTGCAATTGCACGAGTAAAATCGGAGGACGAGTTGCTGGTGTTGGCCTGTGACGGTGTTTGGGATGTTTTCAGCAATGACCAACTCTGTGAGTACCTTATCCACCGGCTTAAGTGTTCCTGCTCCCTCTCCGAAGCCTGCGAGGAGACCATCGATACGGCTCTCTTCAAAGTGAGTGCACCTCCTTTCTCAGTCTCGTGGTTTGAGTGTTCATTGAGGGAACATTTCCGATCGAGTAGAATAGCCAGACGACTCACGTTCTTGGCGCACCGGAGTGAGGTTTTAATTCCCACGTGGAGGAGCCCTTTCAACTGTCAATTTTTTCTTTATCTCGATGGCAATTCAAAGTTAGATGCTTTGTGGTGGAGCTCCGATTTCGATTGTTAAACTGTTGAATAGAGGAAGATGTGATTCTAGAAGAGATTCTCTATTAACGGTCGAGTGGGCGGATAAATTGGCAAGCTGAATGAACGGATGTTGAGTGAATGTACAAGTGATGGATGAGTGGAGGGAGAAATGGGCGAATCCGGGATGGGCACAGCTGAATTGGTCACTTTCTCCCACTACAGTCACAGTATCCGCAGTCTACTCATTTTTGGCTTCTCTCTCTCCTCTCTTTTCTGGCTACTCGGTGGTTGTCGGAGTGCCTGTTAAGTGATTGGATAGCCTGTATTTCCCCAACTTCGCCTACAACTTCCACATTAGTTTCTCGCTTGACTTTCACTTTGGAATACGGCGGGTTAGTCATCCTGTGTTCATGCTTTGCATGTCACGAAGGCAATGGCCTGACCTTAGGAACAGATGGATTGGAATTGAGGCAATGGAGGCGTTCGCATTTGAGTGAAGCCATGATAACTGTCACAATGGTGGTTAGACAACTGGGTGTCCTTGGGATGACCTGAGCGGAAGTCAACTTAAGGTACCAATTTAAATAGGCGGAATTGGGGACAATGAATCGGTTGATTGCATGAACTGGTGGGTTTTGGGTTGGCTATACTTATCACTGGCGCCTTTCAGCCTGCCCTTCCGCTTCCTCCCTTCTCCCTACCACCGTCCCAGCACGTGATTGGGTCATGTTAAAAATGCGCCCCACCTACGAGAATAACATTTTTTGCTTCTCTCGGACCACTAACAAATGTACTTTTCGTTTGTGCTCCACTTTCCCCCAATTCATGCATTTTCGCAATGGCATCCGCCCTCAATTTATCTCCGCGCTACTAGTACAGGCAAATGAAATGGTCACTATCCCTTTCCAAACCCCAGGTATTGGCAGTGAAGGTGACACACTAAGTCATAAATGGGTCTCAGGATGCAGTCAACATCCTCTCTTACCATCCTGTCACTCACTTTGAGTCGACGACCTAGTCCCCTCTGTGGCTTTGCTCGGCGACTCAGAAGGCAGTCTTGAAGTGCAGTGGAGGACGGAGATGA